CTTTCTTCAGTACCATTTTTATCATATCAATTTCTGTTCCAAAGATGTTTACTTCTGAGACATTACTATAAATCAAAGGCTATTTGAGTCTCGAGTTAGTTACTAGAAGCATGGTTAATTAAGGAGGCTCTGAAAACTGGTTTTGTTTCATTTGGGATAGCTCTTAATAATGTTGACTCCAAAAATTTGGTTATACCAGGATACAGAGGTATCTGACGAACAGTTGAAGAAAGAAAGCTAGTCAGGGCTTCTGATAATTTGCGGAAAAAAAAGTCAAATTTCGCGGGATTTTTAAGGACAAAATCGCGGAAAAATCGGTCAATTTCACGGGAATTTTCGGGGTAAACTTGGCCGGAAAGCAATTGGTAAACAAATGGCGGATTTTGTGGCTATTTTCAGGGCAAATTTCGCAATGAATTGATCGGTTTTGCACTGATCAGACCAGCGTTTTTAATGTTTTTCTAATAGGGGACATCATTTGCTCTTTCAACAACAACACACTCTAGAAATGAATCAATAGCAAAGCCTTTAACATCATGGTTAGTGTCCAGTTTTTCACAACATAATCTATGCCTGGTAGTTTCAGAACGTTGTTCATAAATTTGCGAGCTTACGGCAAGGAAATACCCCCAGTAGCAGAGACAAGTTTCAAAATTGCTGTACAGACATGTATTTGATAAGATTTCTACCGAATTTTGTGGTATTTTGAGTGTTTTTGTGAATTTCGCGGCTTTACCTAAATTTCGCGGCTCTGCGACCGCGCGAAACATCAGAAGCCCTGGCTAGTGGAAACAAATAGCTACAAAGAATGGGTTGTAAGCCTAACCTTGCCAGTAAACTTAAGCGTCAGCTGGTGTAACAAGAATTTGTCATCACATGGGAAATTCCAGCAGCTTATGATCACTACATCTTCAAGCTTCAAAATGTCAATGTATTATTATTCTGATTTTCCTGACCACCTGAAATCATCAGATCTGGGTTTGACTCCTGTTGCTCTTTCAATCATCCATTCTAAACATGGCCAGAACTTGATCAGTTCCAGTGGATAGTTGAGCCAGCCAGTTGTGATACAGAAGTATGTCTCGTGAGGAGACACATGATGGATGCGATGATGTTTGCGAGGCAGGATTATGTGCCAGTCCTGCAGTTTCTGGACCCAAAGTGGCAGGCCAAAGTAGGTATGGGACCATTTGTGGATCTGGTTGGTGAGAGTGACAAAGATAGCCAGTGAAAACACAAAACATTCTACTCCATAAGAAGCTTGTAAAGTTTCTTGGTCAAAAGTGAGGTATCGATAGACCATGTAGAGCAATCCAGGTAAAGTTAGCAGGCAGTTGTCGCCATTTGTCTCAATGATGTCATGTCTTGTTATGGCTGTAGGATCCACATGGTGCTCTCTGAAAGGGCGGATAAAAGCCCTACCAAAAATTGGAATGTCCACGGAGCCCCATGTGTCTGCTGCCCAGTGGACGAATCCAGAACAAAAATCTGCGACAAGGACACCAGCAACTATGAAAAAAATATGAAACCCCTTTAGAATCCTCCTTACTGTCAAAGTCAGACACAGCATGAGAAAATTTAATATTTTAAAGGCTTAAATTTTTCCAGCTTATGCTGGCCTGAACTCCTTAACATCATTTACATAGGTTAGGTTTAAAAATCATATAACTGACTGGGAAAAAGTTACCTTATTCTTTACAGCTTTAAAGAAGACAGATTAACACTGGCAAGAGGAAAGGAAATAGCTCAGTTTCCAATTTTCCTCGTTTTGATAAATATACATCTGGAAACCATATCATTGTTAAGCTTTTAAAAATAGTATTTTAACAGCATGATTTCCAGAAAGAAACCCAGTCCAAAGACATAATGACATTGGTCACCTCCGTTATGAAATTCACATTGAAATTATCTTTAGCTGAACATGTACAACATGTGTAGGGATGTTTAAAAACTATATATGTATGTATGTATGTATGTATGTATGTATGTATGTATGTATGTATGTATGTATGTATGTATGTATGTATGTATGTATGTATGTATGTATGTATG